ACACAGAGACCATCCCAAAACAGCCCTCGCCAGACATGAGCCACACGTGCGTCAGCTGTGCGCTCGAGTTCCCCGACGCCCCCGCCCAGCGGGCCCACATGAAACTGGACTGGCATCGCTACAACTTGAAGCGCCGCGTGGCACAGCTCCCCGCCATCAGCGAGGCCGTGTTTGTGGACAAAATCGCGCAGATGGCCGCCGACGACGAGCTGTCGGAGGACGTCCGTGCCGCCAAGGCCGCACGCAAACAGGTCACCAAGAAGGACGTGCGGCGCCAGCAGAAAGAGGCCTTGCAGGCGCAGCGCCGCGAGCTTCTTGCGGCCCGCGAGCGGCTCCAGGACCAGTTCGGGCTGCTCCGCGTGGCGGCCTCTGCAAGCTTGTCTGAGGGGCCCAACGACTTGTCTAAAGAACCCAAAGACTTGTCTAAAGAACCCAAAGACTTGTCTAAAGAACCCAAAGACTTGTCTAAAGAACCCAAAGACTTGTCTAAAGAACCCAGCGACCTGTCTAAACAGCACAAAGACTTGTCTCATGAGCCCCCAGCCTCGTCGGAGGAACCCAACCCGTCGCCCGCGCCGCCCGCGTCGCCAGAAGAACAGCTCGTGGCCCAGAAGCTCGCCAACCGCGTGCACATCCCCGTGACCACGTGCCTCTTCTGCCCGGCCTCCAAGCACCTGCACTTCGCCTCGTTGGACGACAACTTGGCCCACATGTTCAAGGCCCACGGGCTCTACGTGCCCGAGAAGTCCTACTTGGTGGACCCCGAGGGCTTGGTCGCCTACTTGGGCGAGAAGATCGGGCTCGGAAACGTGTGTCTCGTGTGCTCGTACCAGGGCAAGAACATCGACGCCGTGCGCTTGCACATGCTCTCGAAGCGCCACATGCAGATCCCCTATGAGGACGAGCAGCACAAGTTGGAGATCTCCGACTTTTACGACTTCACGGCGTCCTACGGCCCCGCCGACGCCGACGCCTGGGAGGACGTGTCCGACGACGCCGGCTCGGATGTCGACGGCTCGGATGCCGACGGCTCGGACGACGACGACTCGACATCCCGGACGACCCGCTCATCGACATGGGCACGGAGCTCATCTTGCCCTCGGGCGCCGTAGTGGGCCACCGCTCCATGGCCAGGTACTACCGCCAGAACCTCGCCCCGGAGAAGATCTTATCTGAAGGCCAAGGCACGGTCATTGCGGCGGAAACCAGGCACTTCGCGGCGCCTGCCCAGAGACACCAGCTTGCCATGGCCAAGCGTGCGTGGGGCCACCAGAAGAAGAGGGAGGACACGAACGACAGACGCGCGCAGAAGTTCATCAACAACCAGCCGCATTTCAGAGACCCGCTCTTGCAGTAGACGCGTGTTCTGCTGCCTGCGTGGCCCTGCTGTTGCTGCCTCGGCTGCGGCTGCTTGCTGTTGTAGCCCCGCTTGTCGCTTCCTCGCTTGTTGCTTCCTCGCTTGTTGTTGCCCGCTTGCTGTTGCCCGCTTGCTGCTGCCCGCCTGTGTCCTGCTGATTATGGCGCCGCTCTCTGGCCCTAAACCATTGCTTCGTGCAGTATCGCTTTCCTCGGCTTGTTCTGCCCTGACATCAGAACCCCGGCTCACGTGGATACGCTGGTACGCTGCATGGCATCATGCTTCGGGCCATTGGCTTGTCCTGTCAACTGCGCCCCGTCCCCTCAGGCACAACGTTTGGATCCTATGGCCGGCTGGCGGCGTAGGCGTGCTACCTCGGCTGCTCCAGCTGAGTTGCTCTGATGTATATATCTCCGCGAGGATTCTCTTTTCGACTCACGTCTTCCTGGCGGCCTGGACCGTGGCTCACCTGAAGACTAGCTTTTAGAGAAGTATTTATGAATATATCGAGGTCTTTGGGGCTCTTGGCTATGATCCTGGAAGCTGTACACTCAGGGAGGAGCGTGACTACAAATCAACTTCGGAGCTAAGAGTTGGCACCTTCAAGTCAATGGAGAGGAGAAGCTCAAGTCTCCGTGCTCCAGTGAGCTGGACTGCTATTCAACGTATCGTGTGCAAAACATCACATCCTCTATGCATTCCGGTTTTGCTCAGCTGAAGAAATTCAAGGACGCTTCGATTGGAGCTGACCAAATCATGCATGAGTGTTGCCAACATCAAGTGCATCCTAGCTCATTTCTTATTTTTCGCTGGTGTTATTAGTCTGGTAGCAGTTCACAGAGCAACGCAACTGATTGACAATAAATGGAATGGCTCAACAGCCTCCTCAAATGAGGCCTGGCATTGTGTTTTCTCAATCACTACGCCTTGCATCGGGTCTGCCGAGTCTCTAGTGTTTTGATGTTACACCCGGAAACACCACAAGAGCCATAGAGTTCTTGATTTTGGATTTTCGATATGTGTTCGAGCAGAATCTCAGGAAAGCTGGGGTGCTCTCCAGAAAACATGAGATCTGAAAGAAATCACCCAAGTTTCTTCGGCGCCCAAAACACGAAGCCGATTTGCAGTACTCGACCACAAACAATAGTGTCTAATTTTCACTTCTAGTATCACTCAAATTTACACTCCCAAAAAAAAGACAGTCTGAGTCAGAATACAACAAATCTTCATCAGTGTATAGCTTGCTCTCGATGACACCGGCTATCATGTCTTACGCCAAATGCTAGGCCTTCTGTTTCGTAGAAGCGTACATACTTAGAACAGGCTCATATGGAATGCAAGCTCTTTTGCTAAGTTCACTTGGGGTGCCCAATGTATCACAGAAAAACTGTTATAGTCTCCTTAGAAATACTTTAGTAGGCTCCAAACCAAGAGAAAAACACATATAAAAGCTTTCACTAAGTGCAATAGCACTGCGTGCTTCTTCTTAAAAACTCAATCCGCCGCCTGCATGATGATATTCAAAAATCGGACTTTTGGCTCTCGATGCCACACTATCAGATGCCATATCGGATAGGTGATTAATCAGAGACTTGGTCAGTAATCAGTACTCCAAATGCTCTGAGACAAGAATCCTGTTAAATATTGCATAAGCACTTTTCCACTTCATTTAGTTTCTACCACTGTGGTACTTAGAATTAAGAGAGCTGACTCAAAAAACTTCAGAAGCGTGTTTCTACTTTTCAAAACAGACGCATGGTCCACCGAAGCTTAATCGTGTGATTGGGTTCTATTACTTGGCATATTTTGTTTTAATATCTCAAAAGTACGAAACGCCTAAGGATTGTTCAAGAAAACTGCCGAAACAAATACAGCACCTTTGCTTTACCAATGCAAGGCCTCGAGCACTTATGGTGTCACGTGATACCGGCTGGGTGCAAATTGCCATGTAGCAGTCACACAAAATCATAGACTCAAAGTCTCATCTCAAACCAATATACATAAGCTCTATTATATATCG